CTGCGCCCACTCGGTGTTTTGAAATGTGCAGTCCAGTTGAGGCAGCGCCAGTTTGAAAGGGCCTGTTTCTGTAGACTCGTCCACACTTGCCTCATGGCTGAAGGTGGCAGACGGACAGAAGACTATGGACATGCTGGAGTCCCCTTATAGTAAAGTATTAGAAGCATAGTCCACCCAGAATGAGGGCAATGCAGGTGGTCTCTGCAACACAGAGGGTCCTAACAGCAGTGGGGCTTGATCAGCTTCATGACGGATTTCATCCTGAGTCATGAAGATGGAGTTTGCCAATCGCATGGTAGAATACTTCTGTGATCTTGGAAAGACGGTGTCAATGGTCATTTGCCATAACAAGAGCTTCATCTTTTGGCAAGATTTTAAAAGGAGAGAGAGGTAAACTAAGAAACAAACCCAAAAAAAGGCAAAGAAACTGGATCCAATGAGTGTCCAGAATATCCAGTGTTGGGTTCAAACTCTGCCCGTTTCCTACAAAATACAACATTTCTCTGGAAGTTTAAGCTTAGGCAGCAGGATATGATTTGCCTGAAGAGCAGTCTAGCTTCCCATTAGATGTAGAGTGGAGTTTCTTGACCGGTTAGCAGCCTGAACATTGCAGCAGGCATAGTCTTCATGTGAATCTGTGGAATGGTTTGGGAGAGAGTTAGTGATGACGGGGAGGGACTGGAGGCTTCAATCTGGCTGCCTACAGCCATCTTCATGTTCGGTGTGGACCTTGAACATGGCCAAGCTAATCATGAGAGTCAGAGCCCATCAGCAACCAGGACAGAGCTGGAAAAGATCTCTTTCTAAAGCCATGGCCTGCCACAATACACCTAATGCATAACAGTTATCACCTTTGTGAAGTTCTGATTCCTGTGAGCTCAAGGCAGATGACCCAGGGAGGTGCAGGCCACAAAATGCGTGGGCAACAGCTTAGTTCCCCCCAAGAGAATGCTGAACTTGATGAACATCTATATTTCCACGGTGCCTAAGTATCACATTGCAGGGAGGAAGAGCACCCTCACCCACTTCTTAACGGCATCTTCCTTTACCACCTTTGCCATCCTAATTATGGGGTAACTTGTGAAGCTTTGTATGACATCTTTGGTACCTTTGCCCAGCCTGGAATCCCCCCAGATGGTCAGGGCTGGAGTTTTAGTCTCAACTGTGATGGAGGATGCCAAATCAAATCAAATTTTGATGACAGTCATAGAAAGAATGCCAAATTGGGAAAGGTTGACCTATGATGTCATCAAGAAAATCACAAGGAACTTCCCACAAGTCCTAGCGAGAGGAGGAGGACAAAAGCAACTGGCATGGAGAAGAATATGGAGGTAGCTTAGTGATTAAGTTGTTGGACTGGACTAAGGAATTCAGGTTCAAGTTTCCAGTCAACTCCAGATCTTGGTGGATGACTTTCTCCTCAAGTTACCCTATGCTTTTGTAAGGATAAAAATGCGGTGAGGCTTCTGAGGGGATCTAAATATACTTTAACAACATGAGGAAGAATTCCAGAAATAGGAATGGACAAACAGAGGAAATGAGGTGAGGGTTCAGTGGAGGAAATGGACCAGATATACTATTGTGTCTGTGTGTTCCTAGTCAGTTTTAATCTTTTCTGCTCTGTAAATTCATTTTTATTAATAAGATACCCGGTCTTTAAAGGCTCAAGGTGACCGACAACGGTTGCCAATGACATTCCAGATTTTTCTTTTTTTAAAAAAAGGTAAATCCTTCTTTTCTACCACTATTAGAAATAGCCTTAAGGATCTCTGAAGCTGGGTTTCTCCCATATTAATCTTCCCTTTCTCCTCACACTGGCAATCTGCTTGAGAAATCAGAGAAATTTCAAAAGTCAATTGCAGAACTCAGCTAGTGTCTACTTAGAGCAGTGTTTCTCAACCTCAGCAACTTTTAAGATGTGTGAACTTCAACAAGCATGCTGGCTGGGAATTCTGGGAGTTGAAGCCCACATATCTTAAAGTTGCAGAGGTTGAGAAACACTGACTTAGAGTACTAACAGTTCTTTCTGTTGGGCTCTTCTTTTGATAAGAAGAAACTAAAAACTCTTATGTTCCTTTTATCACTGCTGAAAAAAACACATGCTTGGGAAGACTCACCTCTCCTACAGAGTTGGACAAGGCTTGCACAATCTTCTCATGAGCCGTAGCAACGACACTTTGACCATTGATCTCAATAATACGATGCCCCACCCGGACACCTCCTCTCTCTGCAATCCCACCTCGCATCAAGCTGCAGATCTGGACAGAGAAAGGGAGTCATGTTCAGGTAAGTGGAAAAGAGGCAATTTGGCCAGAAGTCTTGGTTAGAAATAATAGGAAGGTCTTCTTCTACAGAGATTAGCTATCTTACTACAAAAATTACACATTTCCCTTGGTTGATGGATTCTGTCTTTTGTCATCTAGTATCACTCCCCCAGTTTCTTTCTGAAGGTGGAAAAAGTTACTCAACATTAAGAAGCTAAGATGATGTCAACAGGCAATGTCAACCCAATATCAATAGGGAGAGAAGTGGCTGAAGTAGCAACAGAGGTTATCTTCCTAGCTTTAAAAATTCACAAGGATGGTCACTGTAGCCATGAAGTAAAGTTGTGTCTGCTACTTGAGAGACTTGGGCACATCTAGAACAAGATGCAAAGACATGACATAGACAACAAAGGATCAATTGTCAAGGGCAGAGTATTCCCATTGGTAATGTCTATCTGTGAAAGCTGGACCATCAGCAAGGTTGAATGAAGAAAAATTGATGCCTTGAATTGATGGAGAAAATTGCTGAGAATACCTTGATCTGCAAGAAGAACAAGTCGTTCAGTGCTTGTTGAAGTAAAACCAGACAGTTTGCTGGAGGTACTAATAATGCTTAAATATTTTGGACATATAATGCAAAGGCAAGAACCATCAGAGAAGACCCTGATGCTTGGAAAAATCAAAGATACTTGACCAGGTCAGGAGAAGGCAAGATGGGTAGATATTATCACTTATGACAACAGAAGCCACTGAATGAGTAAACAGCTACAATGTCCCTCTTATCTAAAGGGGAATAAGGACCTAGTTGTTCTTGGAAATGTTGGCCTAATTTGATGAGTGTGCTGCATGGAAGCCAGACAGAACCTTGGGTTAGGGTTGCTGCTTGTCGGGGAGAAAAAGAGGCCTGAAAACCCCACGTTTTGTCTCTGGCCCCATGCAACCAATTATCCTCAAGAGATAATCAGAATCTTCAACAGAATAAAAATACCCTACCCCCAACCACAAGTGTCCCCAGATTGTCTTGGATGGGTTTCATCACTCTCTGCCTTTCATCACTCATCTCTTAGTTTCCCAGTTAACCAGAAAAGGAAAAAAAAAAAAGAAATTCTGCTTATGCCCCCTTAGCAAAATCTAAAGCTTCATATATATACAAACACACACACACACACATATATACACACACACACACATATATACATATAGTGGAACCTCGAGTTACAAATTTAATCCATTCCGTGACTCTGGTTGCAACTCGAATTGGTCGCAACACGAGGCAAATTTTCCCATAAGGTTCAATGTAATTACCGCGGACCACGTGGCAGGGGGGGAAAATGGCTGCAGACCACGTGTCAGGGGTGGAAAATGGCCACGGACCACGTGGCAGGGAGGAAAAACGGCCGCGGACCACGTGGAACGGGCAGAAAATGGCCGCGGATCCTGTTCGTAAGTCGAGGCGAGTTCACAAGTCGAGGTAAATTTTTGGGGCCAGAGCTGGTTGTATCTTGAAAAATTCGTAAGTAGGGGCGTTCGTAACTAGAGGTACCACTGTGTGTGTGTGTATGTATGTATATATGTATGTATGTGTATGTATATATATGTGTGTGTGTGTATATATATATATATATATAAAAATAAAAAAAATGATTTTTATTGAAACTTTTGAAAAAGATTAAAAACTAATAGAAACTATTAGTAAGGAAGAAAAAAGGAAAAAGAAAGAAAGCAAAGAGAAAGCAAAAAGTGCAAGGAAAGAAAAAGAAGTTAAAGAAAAACAGAAACGAACGAAAAAAGATACAAAGAAGTGGCTTCCGATATTCTTCACAGCAGTTATAAGTACAAGTACATTTTAACCTCTCTCTCTAAAATGACATCATAACACTCTTCTTTCTATAATCTGTCCTGTCTAATCATCAAAGCCATAAATCCCAAGTTCTTTTTTATTTTTTCATTTTTACGCAAAACAGTGCCTAAGAGGTTTCAGGTCACCAATAAATGTAGATATTGTCTTTAATCAAAGACGTTAGTTTATCCATCTCGGCAAGATCTGTCAAAATCCACCAACCATTCCTCCGTGGTGGGTAGTGTTGAATCTTCCCACCTCCGTGCATACAATAATCTCTCCACAGCAATCAATCTAAAACTGTTAATGCAGGCACATGGGTCAGGGAATGACCTCCCGGGTCCCAGCCCACCAGCGCCTCTATCCTCATTGAACTGAAGCCCAGATCTGCCTTAATCTGGTTTGTGCAGTAAAGGAAAAGGGCAGCCAGCAGGGATGCGGTGAGGGGGCTTCCGAAGCCCCCTGCTCCTCACGCTTCGAAGTGGGTGCCTTCTCCTGATGGGAACACCACGATGCTGCTTCCTGCGAGTGCCAGCTGGAGAACCGAGCAGAAATGGTTGCTATGGGAATAGGTCCCTATGCAAACTCCGAGCGCATACAAATAGGCTTTAATTCTTCTTCTGGGGTACGTGCACACCCTTAAGGAGCCTGGTAGGAAGTCAATACAGTGCAGCCAACAGGCTGCTGAGTTAGAAGCAGGATCCTGGGGAAATTGGCTCTTCTCACTGTCTAGCTTCCCTTGCTATTGTAAGGCTGCAAGAAGCAAAAAATGGTTTTGCTTATTTTCAAACCAAGTTCCCGATTGAAAAACCAAGTTGTTTGGTCTTTACAAAGCCACTGGGGCATTTCTCAGTACTTAGTGTCCTGTGGAAGTCCACCATATTGCAAGGCATCAACTTGGAGGCTGCTGTAGGGGTAACAATCGTGAACAGTAAGCCATGGATTCGATTTCTGGGTCCCAGCACAACAGAGGATGCATATTTCCCCTAATCATGAGTATATTTTATAGCCACTAGATGGTACTAAGCTGCAATCAAAAATAGGCCTACCAGATTAGGAAACAATTCTGAAGCCATCGGGTAACACTGTACGGATGGGCAAAGCTGCATAAGACTTCTTGCATTTGCCTATTTCATATCACAAACATCTGGATTTTGGTGCACAGGAACCCCACCATCCTGTCCTGAAGAACTGAATATGAGCCACCCCACCCCAATATATAGTAATCGCAAATAGGGCTTCTCTCTTTCCTTCAGTTTCCTCAAATTATTAATTTATATATCACATTTACATATTATAAATTATACTGCCCAATCACAGTTCCTTTTAACGACCCAAGAACAGATTCCCCAGATTCGATCAAGAGCCCAAGGACCCTCCCAAGGGTACTTATATGGGGAAGGGGGAGATGAAGAAATGTGTGTGATGACTCCATGCAAATGCCACAACTTACATAACCTTAATAGAAGACATCAGGACACAAGTACGTAATCATGGCAATTGCATGATGAGATCACTTTGGTATGGTATCGCTTTGGTGTCGCGATGGTTTACTATGGACCCTGCTTGACCTTCCTGATGTGTCGCTGATGCTCCCACCTGCTTTATTCTTCCTTTCATGTGTGTGAGTAAAGCAAACATGATGACCCAACTTGGAATCTCCATCTGTGGGTCCTGATCAAGTCAGGATTGTAAGCCAAATGTTGGTTTCCAAATCCTGGCATATAGGATCAAGGTCCAAGACATCACCAAAACCCAACTCTTTCTTGACTTACTCTACGCACTGGAAAGAAAGTGGGGAAGACACCAGCTCTGTGTATCATCCTGGGGCTCATTCCAAGTCAGGTGAAGGCAAGAAGGTTTGCAAGGACACCTTCTAGCTTCTGTGGCAGACTACCATGGCTATCTCTCCAGAATTTGTCAACCACGCAAGATGAAACACCCATTCCTGCTTTGTTGCCCTTTCCTGTTTAGAAGAAGTTACTTTCTCAGCCCAGTTTTCATCCCCACGATCGAAAGAAGGAAAAGACTCACAATTCCGTTCTGTACGCTGAAACCCAGCTGGTATTTCAAATCCGGGCGCTTGATCAGAACAGTAGTGACCGGAGGGCAACTGACAATGTTCAATTTCACTTGCGTCTGATTCTTAAGACCCTGCAAAATATGCTCAGCGTTAGCATTTCTCATTAAGTAAAGCAAGTTATGCCAGATACGCGTCTGGTACTGGGCACAAGAACGCCAGGAATATCATGACACCACCACGCTGAGGCAAAGAAGAACCTGCGTCATTTGCAGAACGTCGCAATAAGCGCAGTGCCACAATTCCTCCCTGTGGATGCCCAGGCCATGCGCTTCCCAGTGTCGATGGGTCAGTGGCCACGTGGGTGCTTCCTCATAAAGATGTGCGCATGAGTGTTTTTATTCCCCGCATTCTACTATATTGCACACCTCTTTTCATTATCACTGGAACATTTGAGCTTAGCACACTAGCAAAATGCTCGTGAGGTCTTTGAACGCATCTGCCGTCAGCTGGAAGAGTGTTTTAATTATCTCTGTTAGAGGCGCTGAATGCAACAGCTGGATGAAGAAACTAGAAGAACCGATGAAACCTTCTCCATGCACGAACAAGAGGCTCCGAGTCTGACTGAATAAACACTGTGAGGAGAAGCACATCTGGCTCAGGAATCTGCCCACTCTAGTCCTTTCCACTACCCCCCCCCCAATTTTCTCATATCTCCCCACCCATGTTTGGTGCTAGCTGTATTTGCTCCATTCCCTTGGGCTGACTAGGGGCTTCCGTGCCCTTACAGGTGTCCCTCCCCCAGATATTTGTCCCAACTGTCCCAACTGATTTTCTGTCCAACTGACGCTTCGCATCTTGTACTTTCAGCTACAAAGACAACAGCCCTTATAAGCCGTGCTTAATCAGCTCAGCTGAAGAATTGCATTTGCCCATCATGCTGATCTGGGCTGATTTAAATTATGGTTAGGCTTTCTCAATATGTTGTGAGAATTCAGCCTGGGCACTTAATTTGTGGCTCAGTGTGCAGTGCAAAGTTGGCAAACAGGTTAAGACAAACAGCAATGGGGCAAGCTAGGTGTTAAGGTGTAGGATCATGGCCAATATCTAAATGTTGCAACAGAAGGGGTTAATATTGAAAGTCAACAAGCATCATTCCATGCGCCCAGCTGACAAACTTACACAAATAAGGACAGATGGGTACCTTAATGATTCCTTGGCATGTGGCTAAAGGAAGACCGACTAAGCTGGTCCCATTAATGGACATAATCTGGTCTCCGATGCTGAGCTTTCCTGAACGGGCTGCCGGGCCTCCATTCATCATGTTTGCCAGGATCACTGTGGGTAAAATGGATCCCCAGCCAGACTCCACAACCACCACGCCAAGAATCTCCCCCTTGTGTTTGGCAATTTGCAGCTGTAAGACCAAAGAGCAGAGAGAACGAGTGCTTGTGGACAGTCTGGAGAAACAGGAGACCCTAAACACGGTTTCTTCTGCGTGTACTTTCACTAAAAGGGCCTGGTCTCTGCTTGTGGCACATAATCTCCAGAGAACTGTGACAAAGCACCTCCCTTGCATGCAGAAGAAGTCCAGGTTCAACCAAGGTTCAAGCATTGCTATGTTCAAGGCCTGGCAAGAGGAGAAGACATGGTCGTTGGGTGATTCTAAATTGACCACCTTTCCCTGGCATAGGAACGAGGGCTCTATCCAGAAAACGTTGCATTAAGGAAGGTGAGTTCCTACTTCCCCAAACATTTCCTCCCCCAATTCATTCTCCTCCTCAATTTAAACTGTGACTCCTTCAAATAAAACCTTGTTTATTATTGACTTTCTCCAATAATGCAAGCAACCTGCAAACCACAGTCCAAAATGCATCAGGGGGCATGCATGCTTTCTCTCTCTCTCCCTGAAACTGAGAAGATTACATTTTATTTACATTTCCCCCAGTATTGATTTAAAATCCAATTTCCACCTGGCTTGTAGATTTTGGCTTCCCTTCCAATCACTCTGGCCACTTTTTACCTCCAAGCATACTGTTTATACCCAGCCCAAGCTGTCACGGCTGTAAAAATCACTTGCCCCATAGTTAAGTTTATGAAGTTCATTTCAGAGGTAGAATTTTCTCCTCTAAAATGACTTTTCAAAGTATTAAACACCCTGGGTCCCCAACAGCCTCCTTAAAACAGGTAAACGTGCTCCCTCACCCCTCCGCTTTCCAAAAGCAACAGCAGAAAAACAATCTGGTCATAGCCCATATCAGCTCAACTTCATCTTACTCCAGAGCCAATGGGTGAGGATGGAGTAGAAATTCCGTCAAGCAAGCCCAGATTCCAGCTCCTCTTTTTCATGGCCTGTTTGCTCATGTTTTGATTTTAAGAAGCACACTAAAAAATAAAGGAAAATCCAAAGCAACCAGCCAATGGGAAGTTCCCCCTCCTGTTCGATGGAAGCAGCCAAAATCAGAAAAAACAACTGGAAAGGAACCATGGAGGACCATATCCGAAGCACAGAAAAATGACCAGCTTCATCAACCAAAACAAAACAACCCTGGAAATAGAGCTGCCACACCTGAACTGCAGATATCTAGATGGTCACTAGGTGCCAGGAAAGAGATACAGAAAAGGTGTTGTTCTTTCTAGTGGACACTCTGGATTTATAACACTTGGATACAGTAGCCCTGCTCAACATCTCACTGGGCTTCATCTCACCCTTCTATTATGGAGGCTTAAAACCAGATTTGCAAATGACTTCTTGAAACTCCACTTGAGTCCTCAGCAGTGACCTTCTGCATAAGGAAAGGGAAAGGGGCTTCAAATGATCAGGACTTCCCCCACCCCCCTCAAAATAACCCGGTCAGAACAAAAGGAATCACCTCTTTGCAGTTCTCTGAGTTGGAGAAATGAATCAAATCGTCATTATACATTTCCTGGGTGTTGATGATGTCACTGTACTCTTTCTGACTGAGATCTTCTGGGTTGATGCCATTGGCCCGGAGGAACTCCTGATAGGCCACGCTGAAAGCTTGTCCAATCGACTGGGCTATCAGCTGGGCCTGCGAGAGAAGGAGAAGAAGGAAAGAGATCATCATCTTTGGCAAACAATGGCATCACAGTCGGCCATGTGGAGGGACTGACCCATCATATCATGGAAACTGCTGGTAGCCCCCATGGAGAACATCATGTTTTTACTCTGCTGTAGAGTTGGAAATTGTTTGGATGAAGACTTGTAGGAAAAACAACTGAAATAACCCAATACTGCAGGACTGCGTTATAAATGCTGAAGGGTTGTCACAATTATTCAGGGTTGCAAAGGGAGGTGGGGGAAGACAAACAAACTCCACTTAATGAGCTTCAGTCACCTCATTTAACTAGACGTTTAGTTTTTGGTCCTTCACCACCAAAGCTACTTTGGAGAAAATGAATTTCCTTTCTCTATTTTTAAGATGTTGAAGACTGTCCTTCAACAAATACTCTGCAGTGGGCCAGGGGTCCAGGAGACGCAGACAAACCAAAGATTATCTCCCATAATGCATAATTGGGTTTGGAAATGTGCTGTCTTTCGATGTGGCGGCAGCTGTAAGGTCAGATGCATTTCTAAGGCCATTAGACTAACTCTTGGAGTATCAGGTTATCAGAGGCAATTAGCCCTGATGGCTCTTGTAATAACCTAATTGATTATACAATAAAATACAATATACAATTATACAATAAAATCGTATTAATGTTATGCGATCTCTTATTCCAGACTCCTACTCTAATCTGCTGTTCTCTGGGGTGTGTTGGATTTCAGTTCCCATAACTGCCAAGTAGTGTGCCATCCAGGGTGGAAATTATGGAACTTAGAATCCCATCCCTGTGGAGAACATTGGTCCAACATCTAGAAGGCTTCTATACTGGCTAGAATTTATGGGAATTGGAGTCCAGAGTATCAGAAAAAAGCAGGCCAATAAATCTGGAGGCCTAGAATTTATGGGGAATTGGAGTCTAAAACATCTAGAGAATCTTTGATGTGATCCAGTGGAACTCCTTCTGATGCTCTTAATTCTTTCCCTTGACTCTATTCAGATTTTTAAAACTCCAGGCTCTAGGTCAGTGTTTTTCAACCTTGGCAACTTTAAGACGTGTGGACTTCAACTCCCAGAATTCCCCAG